ATTTCAGAGGAAATATTCCCTCATGCATACAGCCGCATAAAGAATGCCTACTTCTTAATGCTACATTGGTTTTAAGGAATTTTTTAACTTTTACTGAATTTTTGGTAACAGTATTACACTGAAATTCTGACTGTAAGTCTCCTTTTAACACTTTAAAGAAAGCTTTGATGTCTGCACCAGTATTGGAATTGCTGGACTTAATGAAACACTTTGAGCTCTTTTTACATGAGTGGCTTAATTTAGTCCTGGGGGTGTTGACCCAAAAGTTAGGATTATGGAAACAAGCTGTGGGATACTTTTCCAAACAATTGGACAATGTCAGTAAAGGCTGGCCTACATGCCTTAGGGCAGTGGCAGCTACAGTTTCGTTGATTCAAGAAGCTAAAAAAATTGACTCTGGAACAAAAGATCACTGTCTATGTGCTACACATGCTTACAACTGTTTTAGAACAAAAATGGAAATAAATCATTAGTTGTCTGCTAGCAGAATGCTAAAATATAAAGTTCTTTTGGAACAAGACAATGTTAAACTCAAAGTAACTTCTGCACTTAATTCATCTATGTTTTTAGATCCTCAGAAAACAGGAGAGGAATTACAACATGACTGTTTACAAACCATTGAACAAGGTTACTCTAAGAGAGAGGATTTAAAGAATGTTCCCATAACAAATCCAGATACTCTGGTAACTCAGAGGTTGTGCCCCTTGCCTGCTTCTGTACAGATGGCTGAACTTATTGTTTTACAGAAGGCATTGGAATTGTCAGAAGGAAAAATAAAATAGCAAAAGCTGAAAAATGTATCTTGGTAATAACTCCTACAAAATAATAAATTACCACCTCCAGGAATTACAAAGAAAGGAAATTGTTGAGGACATTACTGGCAAATAGATTTCTCTGTATTGCCTCGACAACAGAAATATAGGTATTTACCGGTGTTAGTGGATACCATTTCTGGTTGGCCTGAAGTTTTCCCCTGTCACACCAACAAAGCTAAAGAGGTAACTAAAATATTGTTAAAAGAAATAATACCCAGATTTGGGGTTTCATTAGGAATGTCATCAGACAGAAGACCCCAGTTTGAAGCTGAAATTTTTCCCCTGGCATTGCTGAGAATTAGAATTCATCCAAGCTCTAAGGAAAAGGTAAGCCCATATGAAATACTCTATGGGAGATCATATCAGGCTGTGATTATACCCAGGAAAGTCACATAACAGGGAACTACAATTTGTGCAAGTATGTAATATCTTTGGGAAAAAAAAAACTCTCATCTTTGCATAGGTTTGCTGTTTTAGGATCACCTGTTACCTTGGATGTCTAAGTGCATTCCTTTCAACCAGGAGATTGGGTGTATCTTCTAACCTGGAATGATGAATCTTTAAAGGGAAGCTGGAAAGAACCATTTCAAGGTTTGTTAACCATCCATACAGCAGTCAAGCTTGTCAGAATCTGTACATGGATTCATTGCAGCAGACTTGAAGCAGCACCAAAGCCTGAATGGAAAGTAAATCAACTGGACCTCTACAATTAAAGTTAATTAATATCCCAGATGAACTGTACGTAAGAGGACTTTGTGAGTCATTGGGAAATAACATGTTGTGTTGGTTTTGCACAGCCTGGTTTTTGGTAGCAGAGGGGCCACAGAAGTTGCTTCTGTGAGAAGCTGCCCCATGTCCAGCAGAGTCAGTCCCTGATGGCTCTGAGGATGGACATTCTGCTGGCCAAGGCTGGGCCAGTTAGAGATGATGGTAATGCCTCTGTGATGACATATTTAAGAAGAAAATCAAAACAAAGTGGGGCACAGTTTTTTTTTCCTAACCAAAGAAGAGGAGGTGAGAACATGTGAGGGAAACAACATGGAGACACCAAGGTCAGTGAAGAAGGAGGGGGAGGAGGTGCTCCATGAGCCAGAGCTGAGATTCCTCTGCAGGCTGTGGTGATGACCATGGTGAATCAGGCTGTTCCCCTGCAGCCCATGGGGGTCCATGGGGGATGCAGAGATTGACCTGCAGCCTGTGAGGGAGGTGTTCATGCCAGAGCAGATGGATGCCTGGAGGAGGCTGTGATCCAGTGGGAGACCTGATGGAGAGAGGGGGCCCTTGCTTCCAGGCTGGATCAGCCTGTCCTTGGAGGACTACACACTGTGGAAGAGTGACCCACACCACAGCAGTTTAGGGAGGACTGTTTGCCCATGGGAGGGGCTCATGTTGCAGTAGATTTGGGAGGACTACTGCTTGTGATATTGGAGAAGTTCATGGAGAAGTCTCTTCTGTGGAAAGGGACCCCACGGTCTCACAGGGAAAGGACTTCTCTCCCAGAGCCACAGAAGAAGATCTCAGGTGATGAACTGACCAAAACCCCCATGCCCTGTCTCCCTGTGCTGTTGGTGGCAAGGAGGGAGGGGTTGGGGGGAAAAAGGTGGTTTTGAGGGCTTATTTTACTTCTCATTATCCTCCTCTGACTCTGTTAGTAATAACTTTGATAGTAAAAGATTTTAAAATCATAGAAAGTTTGGGGAGTTAGAAAGAAAGTTAGGCTTAGTAGGCCCTGGGGAAATGTTAAAGGTAGGCCCTGGGAAATGTTAGGCCTTGTATTTGCTAGATCATGTGAAACTGCACCTGTGTAGTCAGTATATGATAAATTATATAATTGTTAGATGTGATTAGATATGATTATTGTTTAAAGAATCATGAGAAACTATGTTAGGGGTTTGAGGGGGATCACGAGAAATCCATGCTTGGATGAAATAAATGTATACAATAGAACAATGTAAGTTTAATAATTAATATGTAAGTTATATAACGATAGAATATAAAACATGTTCAGCTCGAAACCATGTCGGGTCAGATTTGGGTCTGTGCACCCCTGACACCCAGAGCTCTTCAATAAAAGCACCTGCATATAATCATTCCATGATTACGTGCTCCTGAACGCTAACAACTTCACTTTGGACTTCTAAGTTGAGCCTGTTTTGCCCTTGGAGTGTTTTCTCACAGTCCTTATCTCAACTCATGAACCCTTTGTTTAATTTTTTTCTCTGCCCAGCTGTGTCACAGGAGGGTGGGCAAGCAGCTTTTGTGGGTGCCTGGCGTTTGGTCATTATCAAACACGACGTGTGAATGAAGTTATTTTACAACAGTGTATTTCCATTTGTATTAAATTTTGTATATTTCTATTCAAAGCAGTATGAAGTTTTAACTCTCATTTATCTTGTTAAGTGGACTAAGTTTAATAATCCCACTGAGATCAGGTCTGGAAAACTAATAGCGCTTCAGTCTCCACCTGAAATTGATGTAGGAAGTAACAAAGAGCTAATCTGAGTGATTGTTGGATATGTGCTCATATGCCTGAACATTCAGGAAAAGGAATACATTTAATTGGAGTTCCAATCCCCACTGATATAAAATGGACAATGTTGTGGGTACCTCATTTAATATAGATCAAGAAGAAAAAGATCAGGAGTGGGATCTGAAGACATCACCTTACCCTAGCACATGTATAAACAGACGTTATCCCCCAAAAAGGACTAGACAAAGTAGATTGTGTCAACATTACTTTTGTAGGAAACCATATGAACTGTAGTGTGATCAGATTTTCTTAAAAGCAAACAAGAAATTATGTTTTCATGAGAATTCATGCTGCACTTTCAGATAAAGGCAAGGGAATGCAAGTGGCATAATCACCAGTATCAAGTTTAAGCTGAATCTGGGCTCCTCTGTTACCATGAGCTGGTTGAGTTTATCCTGTGGCCAAGGGATTGGTGCAGCACTGAACAGGCCTGGGCCTGCTCAGGTTAACTGTTATGTGAAAAGGCTTTACCTCAGAACTGGAAGGGTTTTGGGAAAATCTTTAATTGTAAGAAATAGTGTTTAAGTCTTGTGAATTAATTTAGCTTTAACCAACAGTGCTTAGTCCTGTATTAATGTGTGCAAGTGGTTATCTTAGCCCTAATGACTGTGGGCCTGAGCAACACTGATAAGAAGGTGTATCTTGGCCACATCACATCACTGGGATGAATTCAAAGAGAATAAACTTTTTCTGGAGGCTTGTGACCAAAAAGAGGATAATTTGAGGAATGGGATGTTCCCCATATGACCATCAGAGACCCTCAAAAGACCCCTACTCTAATGTAAATAAAATCTGAGAAGTGATTTAAATATGTGAAAGAATTTGCAAGGATGTTTAGCATATATGTGTGAGTTTCAAAAAATATACTGAATATGTATAAGTTACATAGATTTAAGCCAGTTTGTTAGTGAGCTGTGGTGCATGGGTTAGGTGGAAATATCCCCCTCATGCCTGGCATTGTAAATAAAAGTGATGCTGCTTTCTAATACTGAAATTACAGTGTTAGAGTTTTATTCCTGATTTTTGGTGACAAGGGTATTTGCACTTTAGGAACCATAATCCCAAATATTACAGTTACCAAGAATTTGAAGGCTGATCTAAAATAAACCAAAAGAATTAGCAATCCTTTTATAAAGAGATCAACATCTTTCCATTCCTTTGCCAGATGGTTTATCCCCTGGTTAGGAGTTAGTGAATTGGAAAAAGCAATTGTGAATATTTCAGCATTAATCGAAATAATTGGAAATCAAACTGCAAGTGCTCTGTGGAGAATAAAAAAGAAGTATCAGCAATCAGGAAGATATCAGCTGAGAACCAAATGAGTCTGTTTTGCCTGTGATGGTAAGTGCTGAGTGATCTCCCTGTCCTTATCTCAACCCATGAGCCTTTTGTCGTCTTTTTCTCCCCCTTGTTCTGCTGAGGGAAGGGATAAGGCAGCTTGGCTGGCATCTGATATCTAGCCAAGGTCAACTCACCAAAGTAATATGTTAAATTAAAACATCGGCACTCTTTATAAGCGAGGGCCAGCTTTTAAAATGTGGATTGGCTGTGTCTTGATCAAATTCAAATAAAATGCAGAGCTCCTTGAAGCGATTTTTAAATTTTAATGTGTTGCCCCTTTATTTTATTTGTATTTTGGCACTGCCTCAAACAGCCCCTTCTCTGGGCCCCGCTCATAGTGGGCGTGGCCTGGTATTGCTCCTCAGGCACTGGGATATGGCGTAACCATGGGTAGTAAGATGGCGGCTGTCACTAGAGTCGTACAGGTAGTGGTGCGCGGCCTGCGGACCGGGAGGCGGCTGGGGCCGGGAGCCTGGGGCCTGGAACCTGGCACGGGTGGTAGGCCTCGCTTCGCGCGCGGCCGCTGGGGCCTGAGGTGGCCGATGCCCGAGGTGCCGCTGGAGAGGCTGGTGTCCTTGGCGCGGGGGAAGAAGGGTGCGGCGGGGCCGGCCCGGTGGCGCCGGTCATTAGATTCCTGTGCCTGGTTCTGGTACCAAAGGATGTTACTGAGCAGTCTGCAGGCTGCCCCTTTTCGGTCGCTCTTCAGGAGGGGAGGGCGCTAATCAGTATCTCGTTTCTAAGCCATCCTTCTTCCCTTCCAAGGTGAAACATAGAGTCTTCTTGAAAAGACATATTTAAAAATACCAGACGTTATAATGTATAGGGTTTTTTTTCTTAATGGAACTAGTCCATCCCAGCCAGCCAGCTGAACAAATATATACAGGTAAAGAGCACTGCTAGCAATTTCACATGCTAAAACTTCGTAATTCCATTTTTGCTACTGTAGTAGTTATTTCTGCATACACACTGATTGCTGCGAGAAAAGGAAGAGAATGCTTATTCCTGTTCTGAACACTAGGGTGGGGTAGTGCCTTTAAAGGTGAAATTTCTCCTTGGGTAAAAATAAAATTCAAGTAGTAGTTTTATCACAGTACTGGTGCACAAAACAGCAGTTATAGAAGTGGTTGTTTAATTTGTTGTGTGTTCCATTTTATTAATGTTTGTCTAGAAATATATTTTATGCTCCCTATTTCTCCTACTACATTGTCTTGTTCTAGGTAGTCAAGCCACATACTCCCTTAATAAAGTTCCCAGACAGAAAAAGTAGTCCCAGACCTAAAAGTAAGTATTTCATCTATAGATACAACTTATGCCATATTTCTTTGCATAAACTGTTGTATATAAGAATCGGCACACAATTTTTCTGCTTTGACTATGCATCTCAACTGATTTTGAGCAGGATTTCTGAATCGTTGTTTTAGTTTGAAGGCTTCCTTTTCAGACTCTATACAACTGTGAGAATATAAATAATACATGCATGCCTTTATTTTTTGGTCAAGGCAAAATCACAAAGATTTCTAGTGATGTTTTTCTACTTATATAAGAAGTCACATTTTTGAAAATACTAATATTTGCCTGAAGTGATAGTGTCCAAATGAATTTGAAACAGCCTTAGGTATTTAGTGATCTTTGCAGAAAATGATGTTGCATTTTCCTCATCCTTTCTTTTCCTAATTGGAGTGTGTGATAGTGTTGGTATTTAAAACCCTGATTTATGGCTAAGAGCTATTCCACTGTACATTTTAAGAAGTGTTTCTTTGTGCTAATAATTAATGCTGAGAAAAAATTGACTTCATTGCAATCTTTTACATTAATTTTTACACCTATAGCTACGTTCATATTTATAGGAACCTCAATACTGTTACATTTAGAACATCAAAGTTAATGAGCTATATGTTGTTTTAATATTCCTTTTGAGTCAATAAAGCATTTGAAACTAAAGTAGTAGAGATTTTAAGAAGCTGTGTTGTTATTCTCACTTGTTTAGAAATGATACTATACTATGTATTTGCCACAGCATTATATTTAGGATTTAACTTTTAGTTTATCCATTAACACTGCAAAGTATCTACAATGAACAGCAGTGCCACTTCTGACTTACTTGTGAATTCTTCAGGAACTATATTCTGCAATAACTTTCAGTCAGAATTTTGTATGTTGTGCCCAGTTCAGCCAATTGCACCACCTTTTATGCCAGCGAATTGCTTTCTCAAAGGCTTAAAAACATATTACTTAGCTTATGCTTATCTTCGCATCACAAGATTTTTGTGGCTAGATATTTTAAGTATGTTAGACCTTTACACATTAATTTCTGCTGCTTCACTAGTGAATTGCAATCTACTTCACTTTGCTTGAATGCTGTAGCAATAACTGTTTCACCATACCAGAATGTTGCTTCTACATAGCTACACACAGCTCTGCAGATCAAGACTATACTTTTAGGGATGTGAGTGCTTTAAAGGCCAACCAAATTCTATTATCATATTACCACTGCAACATGATGGTCTCAAACAGGGAAGGGAAAACTGTAGTAGGGACTGTATCTGAGCTTAAGCAACAGCAGTATTAGGTCAGGTATTTTTTAATCTTGACTTTAGGTTTTTGATTGGCTAATGCTTCTATTGCAAATACACTTCAGACTTTAAGAAATACAATAGAAGAAAATCTTAGGCAAATTTCTAAATATTTATTTGGTACATAAAAGAAATTTGGAGAAACTTTTTTTTTTTAATTTATAAGGTATGTTACTTCTTAAAAATACTTTGTAGTCATTACTAGCCAAAGCTATTATCACCTGTGTGTTGTTTTCTTTTGTTTTCATCCTCTGTTCCCTTTGCCTTTTGCTCTTAAATTTTAAAATTTCAGTTTAATGGCATGCTCCCTGTTCAGATTCTGCTCCTTTTGATGGGTTCTCTTCCTCCTTGCTCTCTTTGGGACCTTACATTCTTGATACCATTTTGTAATATTAAGAATGGGTATAGCATTCTATTACATTTTGTGGTATGCCGTAGTTGTGAGCTTTTTCTTTCTCTAAGCCTCTATCTCCTTTTCATTTGTTTGTCTTTACAGTTGCAGTAAACAAAAAGCATCATCTTAGTTGGATGTTAGTTATTTATCTTTCTACATAATCCCCTCCACACACACATTTGATACTTCACGCTGCTTCTGCAAGTACAGCTTCCCAGTGAAAAAGCCTTTGTTAGGATCTATGTTGATTTATCTTCTGTTTCCACATCTGTATTTCTGCCACTCAAATATGCTTTCTTTTACTTTCAGAATTTTTTTCACCATGTTCTTGGTATATTTAACAATAAAAACAGCTTGTGAGAAGTAGAATATCTTTAAATTATTTTAATTATTTTGATTATTTTTTATAATGAAGAACATTGTCAATAACTGGTAACTTTTCTTGGCTGCTCACTAATTAATTTTACAGTCTTGTTATATTTCTGTAATGGTTTTGCAATCTGGATTTCAGTACTGGAATCTCTACAAACAAGTATGCCATCTCTTGGTGCTTCAAAAGCACAGGAGTCTGTAGGAGGCAGATCACCAGGATTTCAAAATATTTCACCGGTTAGGAGAGTACAAGGTATACCAGACACTTCTGAATCAACAAGAACCTTACCTCAGAAATACAGACGAAAACTAATGTCAGATGAAGAGATTGATTATATTCAAGTAAGTTTCATTTATTGTTGTGTGTTGTCTGTATTTGCCTAGTATTTATCTTATTTCTACACCTCTTTCCAAGTCTAAAATACGATATTACATTGTAATTCTTGGGCAAGTGTATACTCGGAGTTTTCACCGCTTTGATGCACAGTACCCAAACTACAAAATCTTAATGCACAAGGTACCCAACACTCACTAATTAGTAGCTTGTGGTGTCACTAATTAGAGAGATACAGCTATGCAGACAGCTTGTGATAGTCATAGCCTACATTAATCACAGTCACTACCTGTTGTGTAACAGCTGTTTAACGTGTAATTTGAATATGCTGTACAGGAGCACAAGAGTCTGTTCTTAGACCAGCAAAGGCTATTACCAGGTGACTGAAGTCTAAGATATTCCTCGAGCTAGTATAAATTATGTATTAGTAAGTTACTGCTTGTATTTCTAGTAGTAGAAACATTTGATTAAACTTGATATAAATATTTTCTGCAATATTTTCAAATATGCCATTGTACATAAAAGGCAAGAAAAACCTGCTTTTGTTCTGTAACAATTTTCAGTTGTAAACACCGATGCTTAAAAAGAGAGAATGCACAAAATATGAAGAACTGGAGAGACGGGTGTGAGTTTGAAATTAAAAGACACATAGCTTTGTTAAATTATAAGGACACCTACAGTGTGATCATATTAATAGAGGAAATCAGTTTTCCTTCATGTATATCAGTATGGTATTATAATTAGAAATAAAATTAATCATTTTGCATTGTAATATGCTCCTTGACCTCTAGCATAAATTTTGTAATGGTGAGGTAAATTGTAAAATAATTTCATTAGCAAAATAATGCATTGAGTAACTTTCTGATTTCTCATAAAGATTGTAATGGCTGACCTTGGGTTTGTTTTTGCTTTGGAATTTGGGCAGTGAAAATAATTCTAAAACTTCTGTTTGCTAGTGCTGTGTTTATCAGACCTTTCTAAAGTGAGTAAGAGACATGTTTCTTCAGAGTGGGAGAACTGGAAGAAGCTATAAATATAGGTTGCAGGTATTGATCTTTTTGTATTCTCCCCTGAAAAAATTGAGTTCTTATGGGTAGATACTGATACTTTGACACTCTGTGTATGTTTCTATACAGGTTAAAAATCAATGTCTAAATCAAGAATTAAAACTAAAACGATTTGTTAATCTAGAACATTGAAAAATATTTCATCTCCATTTTCCATTATTTTAGTGGAATACATTTAACTATATGCTTTTATTTTACAGCTTGGAGGTCCAGAATAAATATAGAAGATTATTTGCCACTGTTGAAGAGTGAAATATTACATTCACAATAAAAGCATTTCCTTAATATTATGATTGTGATGCTGAATTTCCTAAAACCTATAAAACTGTATTTACCCCGTGTGGGTGGGCTTTTGTGGACATCTTTCCATAACTGCCCCTGAAACTCTTTAAATAAAGATCCTCTTTTATATTACCTCCTTACTAAAATTATCTCGAGTTTCATTTCCAGGTTGGGCCAAAGGCAACAGTTATTCCGGCACACCCAGATGGGACAAGAGAACCTGGTGCCCTTCCTCCGGATCAGAAACATCCTGCAAGGAATTCTTTCCTGCCAGCAATATAAAGAATTCCATGCAGCAGCCTGAGGTTGCGACGCCATGGTTCCAAGATCCTGCAGGAGGTAATATAAAGGTAGCTCTTTTTGCTGTGTAGTATGTAGTTCGTATCTGTGTATGTATTGCGTATCTGCTAAAGGTCAGTAAGGTCAGTAATTGCTAGCAATCCTAGGACAACCCAGCGTGGTCGGGGGGGAGGGGGGGGAATTTGCTTTTGGAGTGGTTTCTCAAAGTTTTTCTTTCGTCGCTTTTACAACCTGCCCCAGATCAGCTGGAGGGGAGGCGGGACGTGCATGTGTATGTGTGTGTTTGCCACTGGTGTCTTGGTTTACAAGACAGGTATCTGCTAGGGAAGGCAGAAAAGCTTCCCTTGGAATGGAGAATATGTAAACCCCCGCCCTCCGAATTATTAGAATTTTGAAATTAAGGGCCTCTCAGGCAAAGATATGGGAAGAAGAATAACAGTTATTTACTAGTATGTATAATAAAGCAAACAAACAACACCAACTATGGCATTAACAACAAACAGATTCAGGAACCCAGTGACAGCCTTTTCGGCTGTGGCACTTTCCCCTTTGGTGTAGTTATGGTCACAGCTGGCAGGGGCGCTGGCAGGCTCCCGGTGGACAGACAGGTGCGATGATCTCCACGTGGCTGCAGGGGGCGCTCCGGCGTGGGCTCGGGGAGCACGCAGCAATGGCAGCTCAGCCGAGCCGAGAAGGGATGGAAGAGGCTTTGCTTCACAAACCCCTGGGGCAGTCAATTCCGGTGCCCCTAGCAGGACTCTCAGAAGCAGCAGGCTGGAACAGCAGGGATGAGCAGAAATCCCAGGGCAGTGGATGAGAATGTATCAACTCTCCACGGCAATAGCTGGAACCTGCGGGATGTCCTGGTAGGGCAGGTGGATGCGGGGCCCAGCAGCAGAAAAAAGGTTCCCTGCTGGGTTATGGTGGTGGCAGCGAACTCCTTTCCCCAAGCCGCAGGTCCGACCGTCCTCCTACGAAGCCCAGCAGCGAGAGCGAGGCTGCCCCCAACCCCATCTCTTTTTTACCTGCCCCCATTCTCGCGGTATCTCCGCCCCCCCCCCCGCCCAAGGGAAACTCCCAGAAACCAAACCAAAGGCGTTCCCCCTCCCCATCCGTCTCAAGCATCCAGCTATTGTAAATCAAGGGTGACTCAGACGTTGGTGAGGGAGAGAAAATGACGAGGAGGCCTCCAGCTTATCAGAAGGCTAAATAATTACTTTATTATTTAATATTATATACATTGCATCTAAACTGAATCTGCCTTGCACTCACCCTTGCTCACAACTGCAAAGAACTGCACTCATCTCCGATTCTCCCGTGACTGTCTTGTGACAGTCCGACACACACACACTTCTTGGCCCTGACAGGCCAAGGGAACAAAACATCCTCACTTTGGGTAAATAATCTCCATATTGCATTCCACTCTGGCCCCCCCCCCCGCCCAAGGGAAACTCCCAGAAACCAAACCAAAGGCGTTCCCCCTCCCCATCCGTCTCAAGCATCCAGCTATTGTAAATCAAGGGTGACTCAGACGTTGGTGAGGGAGAGAAAATGACGAGGAGGCCTCCAGCTTATCAGAAGGCTAAATAATTACTTTATTATTTAATATTATATACATTGCATCTAAACTGAATCTGCCTTGCACTCACCCTTGCTCACAACTGCAAAGAACTGCACTCATCTCCGATTCTCCCGTGACTGTCTTGTGACAGTCCGACACACACACACTTCTTGGCCCTGACAGGCCAAGGGAACAAAACATCCTCACTTTGGGTAAATAATCTCCATATTGCATTCCACTCTGGCACAGCAAGCGAGATAAGAATTATGTTTTTCCTTCTTCACTGCTTGTCTCACAGCTTTTCTCTGTTCAGAGGGCATGTGAATACCACACCCAGCCATCAGTGCTTCTTAGCAACTCAATGGGAAGAAATTCCATAGGTAATAAGGAAAGAACAGAAAAAACCCAACCCCCAACAACTGGCTGAGATTGTTCATTGGTGGAGAAAAGCAAATTACAATGAAGAAGTTTCTTTCCTGTTTAACACGGGTGGGTTGAAAGTTGGCTTGGGGATACCTGGGCACGGAGCAGCCGGGAAGGGTGGCCTTGCACCATTGCAGAGGAGGGGAGAAGCGCTTCCACTTCCGGTGTTCCATCTGTGGAAAGTTTTTTCCAAGATTTTAGGGCAGAGGTGGCTCTCGGACTCCTGGGACAGATCCACGAGTGGGGAGGCCACGCCCCCCATGACGGATGGCAGGGAACAGCCACTCTAAGAGGGGCCGATGTGACATCTGTCATTGCCCTGAGAATGGCCGGGAAATGGGGTGAGGGAGCGGTCCCGGGACCTGCGGCCGCCGTTGCGCCGCTTGGCCCCTGCTCTGGCCGGCGGGGTGGCCGCTGCTGCGCAGCCACAGCCTGGCTCGTCCCCCACCCCTGGGCCCCACCCGTGCCGGCCCGGAAGGGACCAGGAGTGTGAAATCTATGGGCAGGAATGTCACCACCCTGGGCGGCACCGATTTTGCTGCTGCGAGGGGCAGGGGAAAGGCAGAGTTGAGTCCCTCGAGGAAGCTGATGTCACCTTTGTAGGCAGGAACGACTATTGCAGTTTCCATAGTAATGAGTTTTGTTTTAGAGAGACACGAGAACCGCTGTGAGCATCGACACAGCTCGAGCACGGGCGTGCCGGGAGTGCCCCTGGGCAGGTGTGGCGTAGTGTGTGGCGGACATCGAGTGCTCTTTGTGCTGTTAAGCACTCAAAAGGGAAATGCTGGGTCCAAAAAAAAAAGAAACTGTTTTTCAGGCTTCCTTAAAACAGGCTATAAGTAAACAGAGTCCTGTGTTAACAAATACCTTAGAATGGAAACTGAGCCAAGATACTATAAAGGCTGTTAGTGCCATAGGGGTAAGAGAAATGAGACCTTTCTTCCAACCTTTAAAACATGAGTTAAATAAATGCTGGATTTATCAGTTTCTCTATTTACCAAATTCTCCTAAGAAAGATCTATTGGAATTTTGCAAAAGGAAGAAAGTAACCAATAGTTTAGGATGGTTTACTGAATTAAATTTTAAAAGTACCTTCTTCTGCATCCCTGAGAATAGGAAAAGCCAAGTACTTATTGCTATTACATGGAAAAATCCTGAAACAGGGAAAAAGAGCCAGCTCACCAAGACAGTCCTGCCTGAGGGTTTAAGGCACAGCCCAACTGTAATATGTGATTTAGGTAATTCGTGCTTATGTAGAATATGATGGGAATATATGTTATAATGTTTAAAAGAAATATTCAAAAGTGTTTCAAATCCACATGTGGGAGCCGAGGGATTGCCTCATACCAGGAGACTGCCACATGCCATTGCGAAACTGCAGATGGCAGCAAGGAAAGGCCTAATTTACAATCGAAAGAGCCTGGCTCTGGAGGAGATGAGTCTTTACTCAAGAGCCACCTGGGCGACCAATATGCGACAAGTACTGAGATCAAGATAGCAGGAGCCATTGGAGAACTTGCATCCCAATGCTGGGTTCTCGTAACTCAACATCAGCATTCATCCAGCATTCATCGCTTGCTGGGAACTACATTGTCCAGTCCAATGCAGAGAAAGGAGACAACATGAATATGTTTAACTATGAAAAGAACAAGAGACACTCTGCCTCGGGCAAAATAAAGTGTATACAAACAGCCCAGACACACACACTGGCATGAACAGAGGGGGTTCCGATGCAATAGAGGTTGGACCAGTGTTCACCCAGCACCAAACCCGGGGTCGACGCTGTCCCTTTGATTGTGGCTATCGAGACTGTATATCGGTCGCAAAATAAATTATATTTTTATTAATTATTGAATTGGCTGTATCGATTTTTACCTATAATACCAACTATATTCAGAAATCAGCTGGAAAAGAAACTGGAGAACTGGAAAAGTCAGCAACTGAGAACTGCTGCATCCAACCAGCAGCCAAGAATTGCTACATCCAACAGTTGCATGCAACTCACTGTAAGTTTGTTCCATGAACATCAGTGACAGGTACCTTATGTTACTGAAACAGGGTAATGTTATTCTGGAAATGTTTCCTGTTAATCCTGGTATGTCTCTGTTCCCAACACTAACTGATAATATATCTGAGTATGACTTTGCAGACCATGGAAGAAGCCTATTCCAGCAGACCAGACATGAAGGATGTGCCAGACTGGAAGCTATGTGCAGACAAAAGCAGCTTCATGTGAGATGGTGAACAGGTGACAAGTTATGCAGTGACAACCACGAACCAGGAAACCAGGCAAAAGACCTTGCCATCAAATGTATCATCACACAGAGCTGAATTGATTACATCATTGAAAGATCTAGAACTGAGCAAAGTTATCTGGAAGGAAAGAGGACTGGCAACTATTCAAGGTAATGGAACTGAACACACTGAACAGACCCATGCACTGCTACAGAGTATTTGGGAATGTAGAGAAGCAGCTTTTATGCATTGCACAGCTCAGCAAAACAGGAAAACAACTCCTGAATTAAAGAATTGTTTTTCTGGCAAAATAGTAAAAGGGGCTGCAAAAAAAAACATCTTAGGAGTGGTGCCACAAAAGGAAATCAAGTTGTCAAGGTTTGCCCCAAAGTGTGATCAAAAGGACCATCAGTTTTCTGGCACAAAGGCTGAAATCACAGAAAGTGAATGGACTATTACACCAGAAACAACCCAAACATGGGCAAAAGA